AAGGGATAGGGCAATTTCCATGTATGTATTTGCCTGTAAATAATCTGGTGGCAATGTTTATGTTTCAGGTTTCTGCTTTGTTTCTGCTTGGCAACTGGCTTTGGAGAGGCTCAGGGGGTTTTAGTTGATTTTTTGGAGGGAGAGAGAATAAAGATAAGGGGAGGTTGACTGAGGCTGTTACGAGGCCAGTGAAGCTGCAGCACACAGGCTGGGAGCATGGCTCACTCTTCACGTGTGTTTACGGAGGCAGCCAGGTTCCCAGATAGGATGGACAGCTAGCTAGGAAGGAAAGAATAGCACAAAAATATTCTGTGGTCACATGGCCACATTTTCTTTGGGCTGACCTTCACCCCCTGTCCCCATCACCTTTCCTGGGCAAGGCTCTCTCTCAAGGCTTGTGTAAAAAAAAAAAAAAAAGAGCTACACCCTTTTAATGAAAGGTGTGTGTTTAAGCAGGTTTCCAGTAAACTAGTACAAGTGCCTGGACTCTTATTTCAGTGTGAAGGTGTGTTTTGTGGGTTTTTGTTGTTGTTGTTGCTGTGTGGCATTGGGGTTTTTTTGTTGTTGTTTGTTTATTGCATGGGTTTTTTTAATAATATACTTTTGAGTTATTTTAGCTTAGGAAAAACAATTAAGAGCAGACTGCAATTAGTGCACCATTTTCACACCTCCCCCCCAAAAAAAAACATCTCTTGAGACTGAATGAAAATCACTGGGACATCATTAGCCTGTATGGGAGAATGCCTTCTCATGTGTCCCACCAGATGAGAAGGCCTCATCACAGCCCCAAAGCTCTTCTGGAATACCCGGTTGAAGGAACCCGGCTTTTGTAATGGCCACCTCTTGGCTCTAAGAGAGCTTATTTCTCTGAGCAGCAGAGCCCTTTTCTTGCCCACTCTGCCTTTGAACCAAAGAGCGTGAAACCTAAATGATGCTGTGTGACTTCCCGAGTTCTGGGATATGCACGGATGGCTCCGCCAGCGTTGTTCATGCCAAGCGTTCAGATAGGCAGAGGGACTTTGCATGCGGTGTGTCCCCTCCGAATCGTCCCACAGCGGCCCGTCCCAGCGGACCACCTCGATGGCTGAATGAACAGCAGCTGTTCATTAACACGGAACAGAGATCCGGCGCTGGCCATAGGAAGTAAAAGCCCTAGAGCACACTGCAGTAGCCTTGTTCTCCCTTTACAAAGCTGCTCTCTGTTAAACTGTGGTATCGACCCTCACTGGCGTACAAATGCCCTTCGTTAGGGTTTGCACGCCGTGTTATGTGAGTCCGCAGTTAAAAAGCAAATGAACAAAACCTGCTTGTGATAATTTACTGTAATGGCACTGGAAGTCAGTTTATTCTGGAAAAAAAATGGTTGGGGTGATTATGCTTAACTGTAGTGCTGGAAGGAGAGGGACACTTGGACGCTGAGGTGGTGACTTCACCGGTGACTGGGGAGGAGATGGATTATTTGCAAAATCTCAGCCTGACATGGCTCTCCCAGAAGAGCCTGCTCCTAAGACACAGATCCTTATATGTTTAATAAGGTGTTAAGAGCAGAACTTGAAATGGTTGTTACATTCCTCTGTTCTGGATCATTTCAGTGACCACCTGGTGCCCCTTTCTTCTTTTTCTTTTTTTTTCTAAAAACGCTTTTGCATCCTGCATATTACTTTCTGTTTACCCCTTGGGCCCCAGCTTGGCAGAGTGCCATGGAATGTGTTTGGTGTCCTGTCCTTTCCTAACTCAGCAAAACACCGAAGACAGTGCGTAAGGATAAGCTGTCGTGTTTCCGCTCCCGTCTCACTGGGAGAGCCTCATCCTACCAGCTGCTACAGTAGCCTTTGCTTGGAAGGTGGGAGAAGGATGTGAAAGTTTGTACAAACAGTACTTTTATTCCCAGGGAGATTTTTAACATTTATTTTGGTGGTTTGGTCAGATTTGCATACTTGAATAGTGATAGCAGCCTGATATCAAAGTGGTAGGAGGGAGTTCTGTTCAAACAAAAAAATAATTGCTTTCATGGATCCAAGGAAGTTTACTCTCCGATATCAGGAGCTGAAAGACTTTCCAGCTGAGGTGCCATTTTCCCTATGTTAGTGCTACAATTGTGAATGTAGCTGGGATTTGCAAATTCAGTTAATTTGCTAAGCTGGAAGCAAGGCAATAACTCTACCCTTTCTGAAATGACCAGAGTGAAAGTCTGTATTTTAACCTTAAGAAGAGGTAGCAGGTTTTGGGAGTGTCATTAAAAAGAGGAACTCATGAAATTACACTGAATAGTGAATTGCCTATCTTTTTAGTGTGTCTGTGTACATGAATGTGATTGAGAGAGGGAGAGAAAGGATGAATCTGACAGAAACTTTATTAAGTTGAGGAGTGAATGCGGAGGAGGCCGTAGTTTCAGACTGATTTAGGAGTGCATTTGAGTCTGTTGAAAGAACCTGGTGTAAATGGCTGTGGGCTGCTGCCATGCTGAGGGCCTGTTGTGCCATCAAAGCTGCATCACCTCCAAGGGGCACAGGCTAAGGCACCTGAACCTGCTTCTACCAGCAACACTACATCTCCCACCCAGCTTCTGCCAGGAGAGGTATTCTGGTGAGGGGACAGAGCTGAGGTGACTCCCATGTCCTGAGCTGGCCTTGCTGTGCTGGTACAATATTGCTCTATAAACTATCTAAAAAGCTAAACCAGCTGAAATGTTTTAGGTTTAGTTTGTTTAAGTGGCCTTTTAGCGTGGCGTGAGTACACTGAATCTTTTAGTTGTCCTTCTATGGATATCTTTTGCTTTGTCATGGTGATGACGTGCTTATTCGATTTATTTAGCCCCAAAGTATTTTGGCTAACACTATGTTGTCCTCTGCTCCAGGAGGCCTCTTTGATTCAGGTGCCACCAGAGCTTCTGCCACCGCAGCTTCTCTAGGAAGCAAGCCAGGATTTGTCTGGTAATCAGAGTGCATTGCATTTGTTCACTGCTGTTCCTCTTCCCTTATCTCTGTTTGTATTACGTTACCATTCAGGGTGTTCCCGCGCTTGTGCCATGCTTGTGTGGTGCCCAAAAGATGGCACCTCTGTGAGCTTGTGATCTGTGTGGGAGACAAAAAGTACCAGAAAGAGTAGCTAGAGATTGCTATAAAGATCTCAATGTTGTATTTTGCTCCCCTAAATGAAATTCCTACTGTGGGTCTTCCTACATGCTAAAGTAAGGAATCTGTGTGAAAGTGTTTTTACTCCATGCGTGTTTATTGTCAAAGTCCTTCAGGTTTTGTTTGACTATTTTGATGTGTCCAGTTTCTTATCTGATGCTTTCTGGTTACCTTTCAAATTCACGGACAAAGTCCAAAGGAAGATTGGCATATAGAGGGTGGAGTTGGCAAAGAAAGGGTTTAGCTCTGCCTCTTTTTTGATTGGAGGGTTGTCACTGTAAAATAACCCCAGCTGGAGTCTGAAAGAGAAAGAGTTTCTGCATCTTCTGTAACTGCTACTGCAATAGTACCCAGAAGAGTATATCTCATTTTAAATCAGAGGAGAAGAATGTTTGCACTGCGTTACTGTGGTACCACAGACAGGTGACGGGGCTGGGGACATGTTCAGAAAGAGAGTCAGCTTCAGGCAAATGTCTGCTGGGGCTGTTTTCATGGCCTGTCCTCAAGGATGTCCAGTGTTCAAGGTCCCACACCATCCCCAAGTGCTCCACTCTACTATTTCATCATTCCTAATGCTGGAAAACAGGCCTTTACACCTTACCTGAACCTCTATTCCTGTGATTTAAAGATTTACTTCTTTTCCTAATCCCCCCCCCCCAAACTCCAGTGTGTATATGTTACATATGGTCTGCCTGCTTTAACATAGAATGTTTGCACTTGTGAGAGAACACAGAAGAAAGCCAACTTATATCTCAGAAAGCGACTTAGGGGCCTTTCTGGCTGAGCAGGGACTTGATCAAAAGACAGAAAACTCCACTCTTAGCATTCCTGTACACATTTAAAGCACCCACGTGTGTCCTGACTGATAGTATTTAATGAATGGCAAGGCTTGGATACTGTGAAAGGAATATGAGAAGGTGTGTTACAAAGAGATTGTGTTTTCTTGGTATGTGCTTGCTGTCTACCATCCTCAGGAGCAGGATTGATTCTGGAGCCACCTTCTGATTAGAGTGACAGTTACAGGTGTGTACCAGAGCCAATAGTGAGACACCTGAGCACAGCAAGACAGCAGGCAAACTTGTGGTGATTATTAGTGAAATATTTGCAACTATGTCCAAGTAATTCATTTGATGAGTTATTCACAATACTCCCTGTTGGCAGAGAGGTCATTGAATTTATAATTATAAGGAGTGAAAATTATTAGGGAGGAGGTGAGTTGTTGTGGTTTTAACTGGGGACCAGAAAGAAAATTCTCCCTTGGGTCATATACTCTATTCTCCTGACACTGATAGACTGGAACTTAGCTCTCAACTGGTCCTTCTATCCCAGCTTGATATGCCTGGAGTGATGATGATCTCATTCTTGTGAGCTATGACATAAGGTGTGAGTGTCAGTCTCAGGAGGTGACCACATCTCTAAGAGAAGTTTCCTTGAGAACTTTCTCAAGCAGCTAAACAACCCACTTCAAGTGGCTGTGCAACAGCTGATTTTTCCATGTTTCACCAAAGCTGCAGGAAAAGCAGTGTTTTTGAAGTGTTTCACAGCCATTACTTTGATTTTGGAAAATTCATTAACAACAACAACAAAAATCATTCTAGTGAGGTGAATAAAGCTGAACTGGCAAATCACAGATACCCAGAAGCAACAGTGTCCTGTTTATAAGGAAAGAGGGTGGTTACTGTGGTCAGAGAGCCGGGCTACAGGCCAGGTCATGCCTCCTAAACATATTTTAACTAACCTCATGTCACAGGCAGGATGTGGGGAATGTAAGATTTTCTCTTCTGAAAGGTAAGGGCAGAGAGTGTAGACTGGCTCCCTTGACAGCTGCTTTGCCTTTCACCCATTGAACCTCAACTTCTTCATTAGGGCGTCAGAGGAAATTTCTAGACCTGCTGGGATCAGAATTGGTGAAGATCCACCTCAGTGGCTTTCCTCAGGCAGTCAGAAAGGCGAAGACAGGCTGCAACCAGGCCTGAATGGACCTGTTCTTCTCAGCCAACTGATAACACTTAAGGTATGTTTCTGCTTGGCAAGCACGGGGTGTGACAGTAGCACATAAATCGTGGGTGCAGCTAACATGGTCTAAAACCCAGGAGGTGGTAGGTAGAGTCCCTGGAGAGTCCTTGCTCCTTCCCTGGCTGCTGGTGTTGCACAGGGAGGCTGGGAGAAGCCATCAGAGCTACGGAAACACCTCAGCTTGGTTGCCTAGAGCTAAGGGGACGTCTAGTGGTGGTATTTTAAAATCCAGATTTCCCTTTAACTAGAGGTATCTAGGTTTCCTACTGTTGCTGCAGCTTCCTTGAAAGTGATGGGCAGAGGCAGCAGTGAGATTAAAGGTGTCTTGTGTCAAATTTCCCTTGTGATAAAATCTGCCAAACTGAATTACTGGATACAGGCAAGGCTCGACTTTTAGTCTCTGTGCTGCAAACCCTGTGATGATGGTGGGGCTTCCAAATGCAGAATGGGCATAACTGGTGTAGAATTGATGTTGTCTTCCTGAAATAGCCTGATGGGTTTTACATTACCTCTGTCTCTGCAAGTGGAGACCCCAGACCACAATAAAAAATAATTTAAATTTTGTAATATGATTTTTTTATGTGAATTTACAGAATATGTAAGATGTTCATGACTTAGACAATGCAGTGAGCCCCTGCTGTATGACACAGATCTTCAAAAGCCAGTTGCTGATTTCTCAATATAGTGCACTGATTTTCGTAGTCATATTTCATCTCCCCTTGGACAATAATTGGGGACTTAAAGTGGGGTAAAACTAAAAGATACAACACTGTATCTCCTTTATCCACAAGCTTATATACTGCTGTGACAAAGGAGAATGCATGTAACTATAGATACCCATGCAAGGCAATGCACTAAATAAACACTGAAGGCAGATTAAAAGAGGTTCACTAATATCATCTTATTTTCTTTTAGGATTTGTGAAAAATTTTCTTGGCATTATGTGGTTGGTGGTAAGCTTGGTCTGAGGGAATGTACTCATGGAAAGACAACTCTTTGGCAAAATTGTCTTTGAGAGTGTGCCAATAACAGCTAGAGAAACTCAGATGCAGCTCCAAAAAGGCTGCTCCTCCCTTATGAGGACCATTGCAACAGGCAGACTTGGTAATGTAGTGCTAAACTGCCTTC